CCCTGTGTGTCATGCTACAGCCCATACTTTGAGAGTCAGAACAGTCTAATGAGCAGGGATCCAGGTTTTCCATTCTCTGCAGAAAAACAAGGGTTTTCTCCTTTAACTGAGAAAGACACAGGAAACCGTGGGTTTCCCCTTGCAGGCTGGCAGAGTTCTGCTTGGGGCTGGAGGGAACAGGGGAGGGCAATCAGAAGCAGGGGATGCCACATGCATACACATGCGCACATTCACATGGCAGCCAAGCAGCAGAGAGCAGCTCCTTCCAGGTAAGTCTATGGGGCTGGTGGGGGTACAGGTTACATAGGAGGATGGCACAGGCAACAGCAGAAAGGGGGAAGGAGGCCAAGGCAACATGGCAGAGTGGGGCACATGCTCCCTGAGATTTCTGTGCCCAGAGCAAGGAGTGTGGCTGCAGCAGGACCAGACCAGCTCTGGACAGGAGCTGCCTTTGTGGCCCAGCGTGCAGGACCCAGCACAGGGGGAGAGCATCACGCCGCCATGGCTGCCAAGGTGAGGCAATACAGCAGTACAGAGTTGTGTCCCTGCTGCTGCTGGGCAGCCATAGTGGTACAGTGCTCCCGCTCATGCCAGGTCCTGCCCTCTGGGCCAGAGGCGACTCCTGCTTGGAGTTGGTCTGGCCCCAATGCAGCTCCATGCCCCGCTGGGGGCACTGCATGAGGGGCTCCCTCACAAGCCCCCAGAAGCCCTGAGGCCGCTGCAGCAGCTGGTGAGTGCCGGACTTTTTTTGTTTGTGTTTTTTTAAAGAACCGGGAGCTGGGGCTGGTGGGGCAGCCGTGGGGGTGGGAGAGCAGGCAGGGGTCACATCATGGTCCCCTCCCCCCACTTACCAGCACAGAGTCTGGGTCCAGCTCCCCAAGGCAGCGAGAAGGGACTGCCCGAATCTCAAATCAATCCAGACCTTTTTAAAAATCGGTCTCCTGATTTGGTTCGGATTTGGAGATTCAGCTGCTGAAGCTTCACACAGGCCTAGTGTTTCACTTTAAATCACAGACAAACGTGGATTTGGAGTGTTTAAAAAAAATAAATAAATAAATAATCAGAGAATTTGGGGGCGTTTGTTGTTTTGGGGTTTGTTTTTGTTTTTTTTTTAAATCAGAGAGTTCTGTCTGGACTTTTAAAGAGAGAAAGCCAGGATTCCTAATAATGAGATTTCACCACTAGGGAGGAAAGAGGCTGTCTTATAGGCAGCCCATTCCCTTTTGTTCAGCAAAGTTTGTGAGTTCAGAGGACTGCCTTTCTTGTGCAGAGACTGATCTAAAAACCTTCCAGAGAACTTTAGAAGTTTGTGGAACCTGTTCTACAGCAGGATCAGTACTTGCTTCCTCAAGCTCTTCAGCAAGTTTATTCAGCAACTGCCAGCAGCATCAGCTTTATGGAGCACGACTTACCCCATTCACGTGGGATTTTCAAAAACATGACTAATATTCCTTTTGGACACGGAATTGCAACAGGCTCAAGGCTTCGATTATTGCATCACCGAGCATCCCTTCATCCCAAACATTACTGAGAACCCCAACCAACGACCCGTTTCTTGAGCACCTCCAAAGGTGTAGTCTAAAACTTCTATAACAATCTACAAGGTCCTTTTTTTTTTTTTTTAAAACCTTGTCCTTCACACAGGGCAGTATTTCTCTTTGGACCTCAATATTACACTCCTCCTGGGCACACAGCGAGTCATGAAGCAGTGGCATATTTGCTCTGCCTTCCCAAGTTTCTCTACCTACTGCAGCCCTGTGATGCAGCACCGTGTCTCTGACTTCAGATGAGTCCTGTTCGTTCACTTGTGTTCCAAAGCAGAGACAGAAAGTCTGATCCATCTATTAGGGTTGAAGGTAAACTAACAGTTACAGCAAAGACTAAATTAAAAACATCATGAAGTCATTTGTCACAGCAACAGCTTAGAGCAAGAGGCTGGCATAACTGTTTCAAGGCTGGAAGAGCCTCACCATTATATGCAGCAATGGAACTAGCTACAGACATTTTGGGGTAACTTGACCAAAACCAGCAGGGAAAGTCAAGACCTGGTACAACTGCAACAGTAGCTGATTAATGCTGGTGCATTCTCTATGTCTGGTTCAGCAGCTGCCACTCAGGCACTGGAGTCAATATTTATCAAACAGCTCTCTGTGGACACAAGCAGTTATAAATCCAAAGTTGTGCAAACTGTCATAAGTAACTTTTTATTTAGGGTACAGTTATGACCTTCATGTGATGGACACGGTTATGTTGGGTCTCAATCAGTGGCTACCAAGGACTAAACTTTATCCAGCCACAGGGAGGCAAACAAGGCAAGCCACAGAGATAGCACCAATGTCAGGAGGAGGAGAAGCATTATTTTTTTAATTGGAGGAGGAAAGCATTATTTGTACAGACACCACTCACACAGGGCTAAACCCAGGGCATACTTATTTCAGTCCTTTCCATAAGTTCAGGTGCATTTTGTTATTTTTCCATTTATGTCCAGATAGGACTTTAGCTCGTCCTAAAAAGCCATGCTTTAGAAGCAAGTCTGAGCAGGACAATATTCGTGCATCTGTTTATGGCAATGGATCTTTTTAAAACTATTAGCCTTTATGGTTTTAGTTTTATCTTCCTTTCCACAGATCAAACCTCTCAGACCCTTCCGCTTCAATCTTGGTTTGTTAGAACAAGTCCGGGGGCTGTGCCTTCTTCATGTGTTATGCATATACAACATTATTATATGATCTATATGCCATCCTTCCCAGTAAAGATCCAGAACCATTTAAAATAAGAGAACAGATAAGTAGGAAAATTGTAAAAAGAACAAGACAACTTTGAAGGAAACTAGAACAGCACCATAAAACAGAGACCCCCCTAAAAAGTATCTCGACTTAGCCTTGTTTGCACATCTGGGGGGGCTAAGCCTTCCTCCCTTTGGGAGTTTGCTGTTATTAGGCAAGAGTAACCTCCCCTTCTAACACAGTGCGTTTGCAAGCCTGGAGGAGTTATAAGCCTGAACGCTGGAACAACTGGGAAATTGAGATTATCCCTTTGGTCCAGTGACCTGCAAAGAATCCTGCTTCCCAGACCTTCAAACTGTTGCTTGCAACACTTAAGGAGTTCTCACAGTTAATGGTGTACTCCAGCAGCAAGACCGGTTAACACCCTAGCTGTATCTTACTTCTAGAGCCACCTTTAAAATTGTCATTTTATGAAGTTCTTTTGCACTCTGGGCATTTAATCTCCCTCCAATCCAACATCTTCTTTTGAAGGTCAGTGTAGATTACGAAGGAGTACAACCCAAAGGAGTACAACCCACAGAACTGTACTTTGAAACCATGCTCAGCCTGTCACAGAAAGGTACCATCTTAAAATTAACATAATTAAAATCCAAAGTTTACTAGTCGATAAGATTCTGAGCTTGTAAAACTAAATAAAGATTTCACATCCACCAAATCCTCGACATTTTACATACTAGTAGGCAAGCGTTCATCAGGATTATCACATCCGAGTTGGTTATTTCTATATTGCGGGGGTTTTCTCCCCCTTCCCTATTTTGACAAAGTTGTTGTAACTGAAGATTTCTGGGAGTGATCTAAGCAAGATGAATTCATCTGGCTTTGTGCTTTCATCAAGATCATGGTAAACAAAGCCAATTGCTAGAAGCAAGAGGACTTAAAAAGTAAGTTTCATAGGAGTACAGGAATCTTTGAGCCTCTAACTAAAAATGCTATTTCTGAAAAATGATCTTGATAACTACTAATGGGACAAAGCTGAAGCAATTTATTGTGCGACTAGATGACTTGTATCAGGAGTCGGAAAGCTGTGTTGCCCCAAAGAATTCCATAAAAGGGGACAAAAGGGAGAACCAAAGATTTACATTGCATATTAAAATTGCTGAAAGTCCATTCAGCAAGGCTTCCACGCTTTGCCTGGTAGACTAAAGTTCACACCTATAACCTCTTGGACAGAAGAACAGTTAACAAGTTCCTGCAGCTACAGCAAAGCAGTTACACTTCAAATCAAATCTATTTGCATCTTTATTCTCCTACTCAAGCTGAGTTGTTCCCTCAACATAACTGCTGTACAGCACTGGCTTCCCAGAAGCCAGGTCACACTGCATGAAACCACTACTTCAGACTAGTGAAGGCAGGTTGAAGTACTTTAGTCACTGATCTATGCATCCAGACAAGCAGACTCAAGTCAACACACTACCGATTGTTTCAGACTGTTGAGCTGTACTTCTGCAATCCCTCATTTCTACTGTAGCTAAAGAGGAGCTAAAACTGTGTGTCAAATTAGCCTTTGAGGTCAATTTGGCAATAGCCAAGAGGATGGCGTAACTGAAGTGAGAAGAAAGTCTAGGCTAGCAAGCTTGATGGATTTAGTTCACCATTACTGAGGCTTAGCAGAAGTAAGACCTTTATTAGTCATCTCCCATCTACACCAAGGGATTGTCTTCACTGGAAGAATAAGCACAGAGTTCAGCACGCAGGAGCAAGTTGGAAGTAAGCATAGCCATAGTGTAAGTCACCAGATTATTGGACAGCACTTGATGTGTAGTACTCCTCTCCCTCTGAAAGAAGAGGGCATGGAGGGGAGTTAGTTTCTGGGGAGCAGAAGCAAGCCCCACAACTTGCACCACAGCTACAGGTAGTAAAACTGCATTGATGAGGTGTTAGCACAAGAACAAGAGTTGATACACCCATAGGAACCAGCTATGAGGAAGTTTGCTGGGCAAACCAGACTAGTTCTGAAGACTAATTGCTCAGCAACAGGATTTACTTTTATAGGCAAGAGGGAATTCTAGTAGAGAAAGCCATATTTAAATGAGGAGACTGATTGTGCACATCTCCAGAAACGATGCCATTGTGTGAGGGCCAAATGACTGAAGTGGTCATGCAGCCGGTACCCTAGACTGTTCAGCAGTTTATCATCCAAGCCTGATTTCATTCCACAGTACAAAAGATACCCAATGCCAGCAGTAGTGTTGACAATATCATTGCAACTATACACACACAGAGGCTAAAACTGTAGTGCAGATCCTGCTTTATGTTGCTCTTGATCCCAACCAGATGAACTTCCCATCTATTTAACTGAGAGTCCAGGACAGTCCTTGCAAGAGAACATCCTTGGGCTATATCACACTAGGTTTGTTCTTTAAGGTTTTTCCCACTAATGTTACCACGGGCCAGCAGGAATACTAGCATGGGAATGTTCTGCTGGCCACTGATGCTCCTTTTGTTAGCTAATCCAGATCCAATCAAATGACAGGAGGCAAGATGTTAGCACTTCCATTCTCCCAACCACTGGTATCGCTGGTGTGGTGCCATCACTTGTGGGAAATGCTAGGATGCACAAGGTCTTGGAGATAAGACCCAAACATGCACCTGTTTTCATTTCCTATTTCAGTCTCTATCCCAAGGGTCAGCAACATTTTTGGGAAGAGTGCCAAAAATGCCCACAACCAACTGTAACCTGTTGGTGTTCCAGGGGCAGATGGCAGGAGAGCCACAGGGGGCCCAATCCTCGTTTTGGCAGCCCCCGCCCTTTCCCCACTGCTTGCCCCAAGGTTCACATGACAAGCAAAATCCCTTCAGCTGCCATGCTCTGGCACCTGTGCCAGAGGTTACCTACTCCTGCTCCAGGCTCTTGCTTGATGTCTGGCTCCAAGCATGGCAGTAAGTGGTCTGTTTCACCTTAACTTTCCTCCTGCCCCTTATATCCACATGCACTGCAGTCTCCTGTAGGCAGATTCAGCAACTGCCTTGTTAAATGGCAGAGAGAAACAATGCAAAGACTGACACAAGAACAGGAGGAAAGGCAGAGAAGGAAGGGAATGGAGGAAAACCAGCAGCAACATAATGAATCAACTACAATCAAAGCGTGTCATGGCATGACATGCGGAGTCATGCCTGTGTAAGAGGCACCATATATCAATTACAAGAAACAACTGGAGCCAAAGAGAGTGGAAACGTCCGATTTAGAGATTCCTGCTCTGGTTTTTGTCTACACATGTCTGAGCCTGGAAGTCCCCAGGACAGGTAATGCATCAAGCTGAATGTTCACCATATCTTGAATACCTGGGGCATGAATCCTAAAGCAGAAGAAACAAAATTCACATCCTCAAGGTGAGGAACGCAGTTTCCATCAAACAACATACCGTGGGAGACCAGTTGCCCTGGTCAGGTCACCCATGAGGAAGTTTAAGAAAAAAGCATGTTTCTAGGGACCTGGCTAAGGTGATGGACCTATCCCTTGATGGGAGCAAGCCTAACTAGAGTCAGCAGTGATGAAGGATGGTATCTAGATCCAAGCAGCTGTTGGAAAGGAACTACAAGCCCTGGGGCAGGTGCCATCCCAGACAGAGCCAGACTCTCACCTGGCATTTGTCTATCTGAAGAAGACTTGACTCTGCAGAGAACAAGGTCTGTTTTGTCTGGTCAGAGGTTAAGGACACCACTGGGGATGCCACTTGCAGGACAGAGCCCATGAAGCCAAATCAAATGCTTTTCCTCATCTTCTCTTAACACACCTGTGGTCGGACTCCTTAAGTAGCTGCCAACACTAACCATTTGTGTTGTGTGATGATCCATATTCACTCCTCTGATCATGCCCAGTCTAGAAAAAAAAAAAATTATCCCCTGGAAGCATTCGGCCCTGCTAAATCAACGTAAGCAACACCAGTCTTTGGACTGCTTGTCAAGAGAGAGAGATTGGCTGGCT